GCTACCTGGCCAACTGACTGGAAGAGATGCCTATCTGTGCCCATTCCAAAGAAAGGTGATCCCACAGAATGCAGAAATTATGGAACAATATCATACCCAAGTAAAATTTTGCTGAAGAGAATCAAAAAAGGCGGTAGCAGTTCATCAACAGGACCTGCCAGAAACTCCAACCAGATTCAGAAGAGGGCGTGGAAGCAGAGATTTCATTGCTGACGTCATATGGATTTTGGCTAAGAGTAGAGAATACCAGAGAGACGTTGTCTATGTCCTGTTGGCCACGCAAAGGCATCCAGCTATATGCCTCATAACCCATCATGGACAACACTGCGAAGAATGGAAATTCCAGAACACTTATTGTGCTCATGTGGAACCTGTACACAAACCAAGAGGCCAAAGAACAAAACAAGGGCATACCGCATGGTTTAAAATCAGAAAAGACATGTGTCAGGGTTGTATCCTTTCACCACACTTAATCTATGTGCTGAGCAAATAATCTGAGAAATTGGACTATTTGAAGAAGAAAACACATAGATCTTCCCCCATCAGGATTGGAGGAAGACTCATTAACAACACACAATTAACAAATACACAGATGATACAACCCTACTGTTCTGGTTCCCTAGTGCCGCTCTGACAGGAATATATCACAAATGGGATGGACTTAACAAACAGGAGTTTATTCTCTTACAGTTTGGAGTCTTTAAGTCTGAGTTCAAAGTGCCAGGCTCTAGGGGCTGGGTGAAAGCCCCTCAACCTTGGGGTTCAGCTTTGCCTCCAGCTCCCGGCCCACTGAACCTAGAGGTTTTTCTTCACTCAGACAGCTGCTGGCTGCTGAGGCTGCCAAGCCCAAGGATGACAAGTAAAAAGGCACACTTCCAATGTTACCAACCACACAGCAGGCCATTAACTCAACTCCATTTTAAGTCCCAAGGTCAGCAGAGCAAGGTCAGGCTGCTGAACAATGACATGGCTACCTGCAGGGTCCAAGCATGCCATAGGCTAGAGACCATTGACCAAGGCTTCTGCTTAAATACAGGAAGCAAACCACATTCCCTAAGGCAGCTACTCAGCTGCTCTCAGTAGATTCCACCCTGGAGTTGATTACCAGTCTCATCATGGGGAATACTACATCCAGCTGCCCAGCCACTCAACCAGGCCCAGCCAAGTTGACACACAAACTGAACTACCACACTTACTTTCTGAAAGTGAACAGGACTTAAAACACTTACTGATGAAGATCAAAGACTACAGCCTGGAGTATGGATTATATCTCAACATAAAGAAAATAAAAATCCTCACAACTGGACAATAAGCAACATCACGATAAATGCTTAAAATACTGAAGTTGTCAATGATTTCATTTTACTTGGATCCACCATCAATGCCCATGGAAGCAGCAGTCAAGAAATCAGACAATGGATTGCACTGGACAAATCTGCTAAATCTGTAAAGTGTTAAAAGCAAAGATATCACTGTAAGGACTAAGGTGCACCTGACCCAAGTCATGGTATTTTCAGTCACCTCATATACATATACATGCAAAAGCTAGACAATGAATAAGGAAGATCAAAGAACTGATGCATTTGAATTATAGTATTGGCGAAGGTTCTTGAATATACCACGGACTGCCAGAAAAATGACTGAATCTGTCCTGGAAGAAGTGCAGCCAGAATGCTCCTTAGAAGCGAGGATGGTGAGATTTCATCTCAAATACTCTGGATGTGTTATCAGGAAGGACCAGACCCTGGAGAAGCACATCATACTTGGTAACGCAGAGAGCGGAAAAAGAGGAAGACCCTCAACAAGAATGGATTGACACAGTGGCTTGCAGCAGTGGATTCAAATGTAAAAGCAATGATTTTGAGGCTGGCACAGGACCAGGAAGTGTTTTGTTCTACTGTCCATGGGGTTGCTTTGAGTTGGAGCTACTCAACAGCACCTAACAGAAGCAAAAGTAGACTTTCACTAGTCTAAAGTGACAATTTAAATCCACTAGAGGCAGTTTGCCACATGCAAATAAGCCTTCAGAAAATGGGGTTTCTCAGCTGCAGGTTTCTCTTCTCATCCCCTTATTTTTTAATTGCTCTAAAACTTAGCATGCCTGCCCCCCTTGAGTCCAACCTTGGAGCGTTTGGAGGTCAGCTCCCATTCAGGGCTGTCCTTATTCGACAAAGCGGAATCTCTACTGCCCTGTCCTGCCTCTCCACCCTCACAAACCTGCAGGCTGACAACGAGGCAGAGGACATGCAAATAGGCCCTAAAAATGGCTTGTTATTTTCACAGCCTAGATAGTGAGCATTTGTGGGTGCCTGTGAGGACAGGACGTCACTGTCAGATACAGGGCATATGCCACAAATTTGGGGTGTCTGTGAAATGTAAAAATACCCTACCCAAATAAAGGTCTTTTCCAAAAAAAGGAAGCTCCTCCAGCACCTTTTGCAGAGGCGAGAGAGGGTGATTCTGCCCCCCTCCCAGGCAAATCCCAGCTGGGCCAGCCCCTGCCCGAGGCACCTGGCTCTTCATCAACCCCACTGACTCAGCACTCCCATGAAGCTGCTCACCTAGTAGCCTTCAATGTCCTCTACACTGTGGAACAACTTAGAAATGGATCATTTCAAGTTAGGGGGCCGGAAACACGGAAAGCAGAGGGCCAAATGACAGGAGTCCTCATAAAGAATGAAAAAACCCAACTCACTGCCATCAAGTGGATTCTGACTCACAGCAACCCCCATTGGGTTTCTGAGGCTGTAAATCTTTACAGAAGTAGATAGCCCCATCTCCTTTCTGCAGAGCAGCTGGTGGGTTTGAACCACTGACTTTCTGGTTAGCAGCCAAATGCCTTATCCACGATGCCACCAGAGCTTCTTTGGTTTCATGAAGACTACAGAACTCAATAGCCAAGAAGTGCTACCAACAGTGTGCTGGTTTCCAGTCAATTCAGAAGCATATAATTACAGTCACTCTCATCTTGTGATCAACAGTCTTTAGTGAGCACCTACAATGCACCTAATCTAGGTGTCTTGAGCTTAAATGTCAGGGTCAGGCAGTTAAGACATATGAAGGCAGCCAGGGTAGCAAAAGTGAAAATAAGAGCGGAAGCAGAATGGAGACAATAGGGAGGTGTGGGGGCCGGCGGCAAAGTGGAGAGAGGAGTGAAGTGGGCCTCTCCATTCCATTCAGCTGCTGTCATGCGAGAACAGGGCACCATGTCACCAGATCATCCAATTTTTTAACCAAAGATTAAAATCCACATTTTCAAGTGAAACGTTGGTTCAGGTTTCTTTCAAACACTATGTGGGCCAAACAAAACACTTCTGAGAGCCAGATCGAACCTGCAAATGGCCAGTTTGCAATCCTGGCCAAAGCCCCAGCAGCCCACACCCTTCTTTCCAGTGTTTAGGGTACCCAAGGTGGGGTGCGGGTAGAGCAGTAGTTGCATAATGCACCCAACTTTCCCCTTCCGGTACCCAGCCACCTTGCTCATTCAAAAGTCCCTCCCTCACGGGGGTCAGGCTTAGTGGACACTGTGCTTGGAGCATCTGTTAAGGGGGATGGAAAAATTTAGGAGCAGGTAAGGGTGATGGTTGAACAACATGATAAACATAACTAGTATCAGTAAGCTGTACCTGTGACGATTGCTGAAATGTCAAATGTTTTGTTATATATATATCTACCACAATCGCAAAGAGCTTCCCTCAGAAACTTCCAAGCCTCCCTGCTCCGTCCTATGACGAGCCCCCATCCAGACACTCCTCTGCCTGACCACTCCCAGCCCGGCAGAGCTGCTGGACCCTTGATGCTCAGTTGCTTCCCCTGCCCTCCACACCCCAGCCACCTTTCCACCTCCACCACTGGCCCCCTCTGCCTTCCAACTGGGCAGCTACTCTTTCAGGCTATCAAGAAATGGCTTTGCCGAGGGGCACATCAGGGGTGGGAGTGCCAGGCCTGGGCAAGTAGCTGGGGGCGTGGACAGCACCAACGCTAAGCCAGCTGGGAACTCCTCACCAGTCCCCAGAGAAAAGCTGTTCTTCCACAAGTAAGACTCGTGAGAGCTGCAGCTGCAAGGGGCTACAGTGGGGTTACTCTGGGGGTCGGGGTTTTACAAACCCCATCTATGGAACCCCACGCTGGGTGACTAAGGTCATGACCAGTTCTGCTTGGGAAGGGAGGCCACGTCACCCTTCTTCCAAATTCCCTCATTCAGCTCCCGGCTGGGGCCAGATGGGTGGGGGCAATGATGTCACTAGTAATATGATTTTTAAAGATAAGCCAATACTATTGGCATCCCATGCTTTTTTTGTGGGGCTTTTTTTTGAGTTTGTAATTGCTTTTTCTTTATTTTCTGGGAGTAACACTATTTATACCAATCATTTCACAGTCAAATGAGAGTGAGCATTTTACCAGTTCTAGTAAAAGGTTGACAGTGGGCAGTCATATAGATTCTTTTACACCCCACTCTTTTTTAGAGGAGCCCTGGTGCATTCCAGCATGTGTCCACTGCCACCATCTCCCCTGATGCTCACAACACCCCAGAGAGATGGCCATAATATTACTGGTCATTATTATCATCATCCTTCTCTGAACCCTTGAAGAGCCATAGACAGGTTAAGTAGTCTGCTTAACCAGCCCAGTGCTTCCCAGACTTGAATGTATCCAGAAGGCTGGCGGTTCAAACCCACCAACCACTCCTCAGAAAGAAGGAGTAATCTACTTCTGTAATGATACCACCTCAGAAACCCAAGCAGGGGTTGTTATGAGCTGGATCTGACTTGTGTGTGTGTGTGTGTGTGTGTGTGTGTGTGTGTATCCCCAGGGGACTCTTCAAATGCAGATTGTGATTCAGAAGGTCTGAGGTGAGGCCTGGGATTCTGCACTTTTAATAAGCTATAGGTCAGACACAGGTGATCCTCACACCCCCCTTTGGGCAGCAAAGCGAATGAAGGCCAGAGCTGGGGCACCTCTGTCCCCAGCTTCTGCCTGAGCTAACATGGCTGGCTCACCTCACTTTTCACTGGTTGAGGTCTCTTGCCCAGTTTCACCTCCAGGAAGTGCAAGGGGGTGATCATGGCACTGATGTTGCGGATGTCGGCGTATTTCAGCTCCTCCGTGGTCAGAGCTGAGCTGGGAAGGCCAGTTAGGGGGCCGAGCCCTGGCAGAGAGCCTGCAGTCACAGAAGGGTCCGGAATCTGCCCAGGCATCATAGCAGGAGGAGCGGCAGTCCAGCCTGGAGACGGAGGGAGAAGAGCGGGAACACAGCTGTCAGCCAGGTAAAGGGTTCCACGCGGAGCTTACGACGCCATGTCTTGCCAGGACCTGGTCCCTTCTTTCACCACGGTGCCCCACCCACTTGCTCTTCCCACCCTTAAGTCTATCCTGTTATACAGGAAAACTTGACCAAATAATTCACACCAAGGTTATAGTTGGTGTTTGCTTTTTTTCTTTTTTAAGAGAGCAGAAAGAGGGCAATGCTCAAATGCTTAACCCAATCATTAAAAAAAAAAAAAGTTGTTGCCCAGCTGACCCTGACTCATGGTGTCCTCACATGTGTCAGGGGTCTCAGTAGCTGATTTTTGAGAAACAGCTCACAGGCCTTCTTCCAAGATGTCTCTGGTTGGACTCGAACCTCCAACCTTTTGCTTACCACCACCCAGCGACTCAAAACCCAAACCCAGGCAATCTGTATTCAGCAGGGGCTATGTGCTAGGCATGCGATCATCCCTCTATCGGCCCCACGAGACCAGGTCAGCCCATTACATAGCAGAGAGAGCCGAGGCTGAGAAACGTAACTTGCTCAGTGCTGCACAGTTAAAACTGGTGGAGCTGAGAATGAAACTGAAACACAACTGCCTCCAAGAGAATGGATCGTAACTGGAATCTCGAGCACCTTTGCACCTGCTTATGAGGGAGCTATTTTTGGTTTGGCACGGTGCCTCCTCTCCAATCACACGTCTATTCTGTATACTTGTTAAGGTACTCTGAATACACGATGAAGCAAATCCAAGTGAAAGGTGAGTGTGCAGTGTGTGTGTGTGTGTGTCTAGTATCAAAGGAGACGGAATTAATCAGCATGAGTTTTCCCAGTGAAACTCACTACCAGAAAATCCCTCCAAAATCTTTCTCAGAGCAAAGGCATATTAAAGCTCTGCGAGACACAGAAGGGAAGACTGACCCGGGCATAAAGGAAGGCTGTAAATCAGTCAGGTGAACCAGGAGAATCCTTATTTCTTCCTTCTTTTTCCGGGGGAAGTTCATGGGTGAGAAAGAGTCCTTTCAAGGTATAAATGCCAGTAAAGAAAGCTTGTCTGCCAGTAAAAACAGATTTACCTGGTCCCCTAAAGGCCTTCTGCCTACCTGCCATCTACCCATCCATCTGCCTACCCATCCGTCCATCCAGTGACTGACCACATATTACAAACCAGGCTATGGGAATGTGTAGATCAGATATGCAGCCTTGGCTTTTAACCAACCTTGGAAGTAGAGTTTTAAGTACAAAACTGCTCTTGAATTCCAGTCCTGTAAAAGAAATCATTTTCTCCCTGTCCCTGCCTTTCTGCACAAGGGCATACAGTGAAAACCTCCCCAGTGTTGGAAACACCAGGGGAAATCTTTGACCCGTTCTCCCACCTTCCCTGCCTCCTCCCATGGAGAGGGTGTATGTGTGGAGATGGTGGAGACCTGCTCCATCAGACCACACTTCTCTGTTGGGCGGTTGATGTGTTCATGTAGCTGTGTTGTCTTGGGCTCTACCCACCAAGAAGTGGCCCTAGAGGATAACTTACAATCCCTTGCCTTCATGTCCTAAAGTCTAGATGTTAAGCGTGGGACATGGTAGGAAGCAAATTTTGGCCACAAGTCCAAGCTGCGTCCTCCCTCCGCTTTACCAGTAAATAAAGGGGAAATTTGGTTCCCTCTTCAGCACCTTTATCTATTTGTCACTAGTTCTGAACTCTTAGGGGAGAAGGATGTGAGAATAGCCCCCTCAAACCACAAAAGCTTCCACTGTACATCATTTGCTTAACTAAAGGTTTATGTGAACAATGAACCTGTCATTTCATCCTCAGTACACCTGCAGCATCTGTCCAGAAAGCCATCTGCACACGGTCACCTGCTTTGCACTTATGCTTGTATTTGGTGCCTCTAGGCTTTTCATCTGTGCTGTACCTACTCTACCACTCACACCTGGCCCTGTCAGCCCCTCCTTCCCACCCCACATCCTTTCTCCTCCTCCTTAGCATCCAGTGTCTTCTGGACCATCTCAGAAAAGGATCTGAGACTCATTCACACAAATTTACAGTTTTAGAGCTGGAAGAGGCCCTGTGCTCATCTAAACCACATCCTCATTTTGCACATGAGAAAACTGAAGCTCAGAGAGGTTAAATGACTTGCCCAAGGTCACACAGCCAGAGAGGGACAGAGCCAGGACCAGACTCCTGCTTTCTGGAGTTTAGGACCAGTTCTTCCTCACCCTGGACTTTTTGTTTCCTCTTCCAGGGTCCCAGAGGTGGCAACACCTTCAGCAGAAAGAATGACCTTCTAAGGCTGGGCTTTCAGACACAGGCCCATAGGGAAGATCATCTCTTGCAGACAGGGTCCTCTGGTCTGTCTCCCACAGATCCAGGTATAGGAATAATCCCCTATGGGTCTCCCTAAACAACCTCATGACAGCTCAAGCGGGAGCCAGACATAGAAATGGTCCCTGGAACCTCTCACATTCGGTTGTTCAATGTGCTGGGACCCTCCCTAAACCTAAGCAGGATGGGAGTGCAGGGTCCATGAGAGATTCACTCTTTCCACCCTCTGGAGTCAGGGCTCCAACACAGAGAGGTCTGTAACTCTGAGTCTCCCCAGCGAGTTTCCAGGAAGAATAAGAAAGGGGCCCACGCAGGGACTACCATGATGAGATGGTGCCACTCAGCAAGTAGAGGGGTGATTTCAGGGTACCTAAGCCAAATGGACACAGGAAACTCCCATCTTCTTCTCAGCAGAGGGAAAAACCTACAAAATCCCCTTTACAGACTGGGACAAATGTTACAAGGAGTCAGTGACCCAGAAAAAAAAAAAGGATGCTTAACTAGTCAAAACAGTGCTGTGAGGCTGGAAAAGGTTCTGTGCCCGGAGCTTCAGCTTGACGCAGATCTCTAACGGGGGATGGAGGGACCACCCTCAAGGTCTGGAGCAAGGCAAAAACAGGGCAAATGCCCATCCTTGCCCAGAAGCCCTGGAACCTCCCTGTACTGTAAGCCCCAAGGGGACCAGCAGCAGCCATGGCTGATGGTTCTCTCCCTATGACCCCAGTGCCTAGCATACCTTCTGGCAGAGAGAGGGTAATCAGGAAATACACGTCAAATCAAAGAATGAATAAATGAAGAAGTGATAACAAAATCACCGCAGAGCAAAACTCAGTGAGAAGGGGAGGCTCTGTCTCTGGGAGTTCAGACGCTCGTTATCAGGCTGTAATTTCACCTCCAGGCTATTCGTTCCCACAGCAGACCCCAAGAAAAAGACTCCAGAGCCTTCTGTATGCTTCCCCATCTGAGCCGTGTCTGGGAGACGGAAGCCAGACCCCACTCTGTTCCAGGAATGATAGGCTCGGCTTGCAGCTTCTGTTTATTTTCATGCAGATGGTATACATGAGACACTAACAAGTAATCCCAAAATATAATGCATTCTGCGCTACTGTGGAACCATCTGGAGGGGTAAGCACCCCCTGGGAGCAGCGGTCCCATGAATCTTTGCCATTCCCCATCCAAGCACAGTCCACTGCTCCCTCAGGAGTCCACCCCAATGATGAGGCTCAGGGGACCAGGCATCAGACTTCCTGTACAGAAGCAAAAGTCCCCTTCTCTTTCCTTCCCCCTGCAAGGGAGCCCTAACCACTCAAATACAAACCACAACATTCTTAACACATGCCATTCCCAGGAGACAACCACAACAGCTGACATTTGCCAGTGAGAAGTCATCCTAACCATCTCAGGAGTGGGGGGCAGAAGATGGAGGTGCTTGGAGCAGCCGCCTTTCATAACTGGATCCTCATTAGCTGCAAAGAACTGGCTGACGATCTGAGGCTGAAAGGCAGGTCTGGTGATTTGGAAAAGAAAATAATTTGATGTGACTTAAGGATCTATAAAAGGGAAAGAGGCAGGGACGCAAGAACAGCCAGGAAGAATTTGCCCACTTGAAGGAAGACACAGGAAAGATGACAAGAGGTGAAATCATCCCTCAAACTGGTTGTTCCATCCATATGGAAACAATTTAGTAGGAAAAGGAGACATACACACTAAAGGCTTGAGGAGAACCAGAGTTTTTTCCCTTCAGGGCCCATATGGTCTGAAGGGCAGATAAGCACCCTGCATGTCTCCATTGGTAACTGGGCTCCATAAATAAAGACCAGGTTCTATACACTGGCAGAAGACCAACATTGGGAAATGGGGCTTGACAGGTCTAGAATCCCAAAAGACTGGCAGTTTGCGACACTGACCAGGAATAATCTGGGAGTTAGCCAATGAAGAGAAGCTGAGAATGCCCAGGTCCAAGATGGAGACAACCAGAAAGGTATGAATAAGACAGAAGGGGTCCAGAGGGTCACAGTGGACCCTGAGCTGTGGTTGAGACTACGATTTTGGGTGATTTGATGCAGCTCCCTACATGCCAGTGTGAAAGCAACAGGGCCAGGTGGATGCAAAGAGGAAGAGCCTAAAGATCTGGTATCTGCTTCTCTACTCTGACTTTCTTGGGAACTTGTATGCACACAATTGAGGGCCCTGTGCTGTACATGCAGAAAAATATAAAGTAGCAGAATATTAAAATACTTCAAGTTCAAAAAAAGGGGACCTACTAGGCAATATTAACATGAAGAGTCATTTCAGTGGAAAGAAAAGGCAGAGGTAACTTAAGATTTTTCCCTCTCATTTACTGTATGTAGATCTGTAAGATACCTTAAATCCTTTTGTAAAAAAAAAAAAATAACAATGTCTATAAATAAATAAACCTTAATTTGATGGGTCAAATATACAAAGGGCTATTGTTAAAAAGTGTCAAGTAATCAGCACTGTCACCCAGAATGGCAAAGACAGTTTAAAAAAAAAAAAAAAAAAGACAGGTTAAAGGAAACAAGATCTACATCCTGAACTTTCTGTCCATAGAAACAGAGATTTAAGGGAGATTATAAATCCCTGGGCTCTTTGAGGAGGTTAGCTCCCCT